ACGAGAGAGTACTTGTGAGAGCAGCAGTGCTTCTGAGCTGTTTGGGTACTTGCGGGCAGTTTAGTATGTGGTAAGATTCCTTTCTTGTCATAACATCCTGAAAAGTCTCCAGCTGGAAGATGCAGCATACCCACAGCAATTTGATTCTGGAAGGAATTCCTTGTGGGCATGGCTCACTTGGTGTGGGATGGAGACTAAACTAAGCTTGTTCTGCTGCTCTTTAGCAACCACCACCGCTGCTGTGCTTTATGTAATGGGCATGTATACATATGTGTGCCTGAGACACGTAAGTATACATGCCCACTCTTCCTATATTATACTCATACCCCAAATTTGCCAAAATCTATAACAGTAGACCCAGAATCCTACTGCTTTCCTCTCAGCTTTAGTCTGTTAGTATTTCTTATCCACTCTATTGTAACAGCATTTACAGCCTCCAACTGATAGTCAGCTTTGAAGAGGCTATAAAGATGGTGTAATTTCAACCCTATAAAGGTACAAACAGATTCATTTTGCAGTGGAATACTGTCAAACACAGCCGAGTCAGTGCAGTTTAAGCAATGATGGCTCTTAAACTGAAATGTGGAAACCAGTGAGGTGCACTCAAAGCACCTTGCAATCTCAAATGCTAAGTTTAATGAAAACATTTCAGTTGAATCCATTTTACTTTGTATTGCATAGACAAGACTCACTAAGAGATTCTCAGACTGGTTAGGGTTGGAAAGGAGCTTAAGATCATCCAGTTCCAACCCCCTGCCACAGGCAAGGACACCTCACACCAGACCAGGCTGCTCCAAGCCGCTGGAGCAGCTTCTCTGGGCACCCTGTGCCATCGCCTCAGCACCCTCACAGGGAAGAACTTCTGCCTTAGATCTAACCTGAACTTGCCCTGTTTCAGTTTGAACCCATCACCCCTTGTCCTATCGCTACAGTCCCTGATGAAGAGTCCCTCTCCAGCATCCTTGTAGCCCCCTTCAGACACTGGGAGGTGCATGTAGTCAGTTACCCTATTTTGTGCCTCCATCATGGTCTAGCTCTACTTTGATTATTCAAAAAAGTACTCTCAATATCCAACTTTTTTAAACTTGAACCAGGGGTCCTTTAACTTCTTTAAACCCTGAGTAAAGGGGTTAGGTTTCAACAGAAATGTTAAAATTTAAACCAGTATTATTCCTCTGGTGTTCCCTTCCCCTGCTTTTTTTTGTGTGTGTCTTGTAGCTTTGCCATGGGCTGGGATATGAATAACTCAACTGATTACTGGATTGAGGATGAGGAGGATGATGTCAACTCAGTTATAGATTACGATACATACGAGCTTCTCTGTGAAAAAAGTGATGTGAGAAACTTCAGTAAAGTATTCCTCCCCGTGTTCTATGCACTGGCTTTCACTCTTGGAGTTGCTGGAAATTCATTAGTGGTTGCAATTTATGCCTATTGCAAGAAACCGAAGACTAAGACAGATGTGTACATCATGCATCTAGCCATTGCGGATCTGCTCTTGCTCTTTACACTCCCCTTCTGGGCTGCAAATGCAGTGCAGGGGTGGGAACTTGGAAACTCAATGTGCAAGCTCGCTTCTTCTCTGTACACCATGAATTTCAGCTCTAGCATGCTGTTCCTGGCCTGTATCAGTGTGGATAGATACAAGGCCACTTATGAATCCAGGGGTCACAGAAGAATTGGTCAACACTGCAGTGTTACCTGCATCTGTGTCTGGCTGACTGCCATTTTCCTCAGTATCCCTGAACTGATATTTAATCAAGTCAAGAAACACAATGACAGGAACGAATGCTTTCCAGTATTTCCAAAGAACATGGAAACGCTCTTAAAAGCAACCATTCAAATCCTGGAAGTTATCCTGGAATTTCTGCTTCCTTTCCTAGTAATGCTGATCTGCTATTCAGCTACTGCTCGAGCTATCTTTAGATCTGCAAGTGCTAAAAAGTCTCGACCTTTCATGGTCCTGCTGGCAGTAGTGACTACTTTCATTATTACCCAGCTACCTTACAACATTGTCAAGTTCTGGCGAGCCACAGATATCATCTACATGTTGATCACTGACTGTGAGACAAGTAAAAGCATAGATGTTGCACTCCAGGTCACCAAGAGCATAGCTTTGTTTCACACTTGCCTGAATCCTCTTCTCTATGTCTTTCTGGGAGCCTCTTTTAAAATGCACATTATGAAAATTGCAAAAAATTATGGATACTGGAGAAGACAGCAACAGAATGGAAGACCTGAAGAGATTTCCATGAATTACGAAGACCATACTGAAGAAACAACTAGTTTCACTATATAGACTCTCCACTGCTTTCTTTATCATCTTATGTAACCAAGGGAATTATTTACTAGTATTGATTATAACAACTACTACTATTGTTATACAAAGGTATTGTTTCAGCAGCTGTTTCTCTGCAAGTCAACTTTCACATGACTTCCTGAACGTGCAGACCAGCCAAGTCACTACAGAGCAGTTCAAAGTGGAACATCCTGATCAAAATGAAGCATCAGGCAAGAACTAAATATTGAAATTGCTAGAAACAAGTGGAAATACAAGCTAGAGGATGACCAACTTGCACATGCCTAAACATCTAATTAAAACAGAAACCATCAGCAATAAAGCAGCAGTACAGGACCATTTGTACCAAAAGTTCATAATCTTGTGTCTTCCCAGCTCTTTTGTAAAATAGATGGAACATTTGCCTAATAAATCAGTTCCATTTCTTTCCTCAGCTATCATTCCATAGATAGCCTTGCAGCTTGAATTGAGGTCTAAGTTCATGGCTGAGAACTGGGAAGGGGAGACATTCTCTATGTGTTTCCAGATATGTATAGTCACAACAACATCCTCCACAAAACCCAGTAACTACCAAAACTAACCTTTCACGTCTCTTGTTTTGCTCACCCTAAACATCCACAATGCCAGTGCCCTATCTATGGGAGGCACATTCTAGATCTCTGTAAACGCCAAAGCAGTGCAGTCCAAGCATTAGCACAAATGTAAGAAAAAGTTAAGTTAATCTTCAGATACAGGGCCTGGAATTTCTAGTCACACTTTGTAAAATGAATCGAACACCGCCATAACTGTATCTACTAAAACAGATGGAGATACAATAAAATCAAAGAATCCAGAATGTGCACCGCCTTTCATTTATTAATATATGTTTGGCTTGGTTTAATGGGCATTGACATCTCTCATCATAGTCATTTATCAACCAGAAATGACTCAAGGCCTTGGCTGATGGATGAGAGAGGTTCTGACTCCATACGGAGCTCATACTCAGTAGGATTTAGTTGGAGAGTTTTTCCATGGAGAGTTCCCAAAGCTGTCCCCTGCCACATTGCTGGCTTGGATTCCAGGAAAACAGCAGTTTTCCATGAGCCTCTGGGAGCATTTCAACTATATACAGATATATTAGCTTCCAAATGAACAGCAGTATTACAGCATACAGCCCCTGTCTTCAAACATCCCGTGGGCTCTGACAACATGCCCGAGCTATGGATTACGAAAGCCAACAAGAATCTCTCATTTTTAGACATTGTTCCTAGTTACAAAATTAGGGACTGGAAGAAGAAAGCTCCAAAAGGACAGAGAAGAAACAACAGTAGCATAAACAAGCCACGAGCCTCCCCTCTGTTTGGATGAGAAAAGCTAACAGAATTTCTGCCCAGTATTTTGCAAAATACTAGGGTGTGAAGAGATAAAGTCAGAAGTGCTTGGCAGATGGTCTACACATACACAATGAATCTGAGATATTTAAACCAGGGTTAATATGTTTAGGGTTAGCGCTTTACTGTAGATGTGCAGAGCATAGGAAGAAACTTCGGTTCTTCCACAAGGCAACCGGCTCCTTGCATGTGTGATATATGACCTGTCTTCACAAACACAGACTGGTTGCAACCAGAATGACATTGTGACCAATGCCAAAAAGCAAACCCACCCAAAATATCAGCTGGGCAGAAAAGGAGGCTGCCTAACACAAAGCTGCGTGTATGCGTTTCTTAAACCTCTTGAAACTGCAATGCCTTGTGTCTTTATGCAAATGTGACTGTCCCAATTACTTTTATTAGCAATCAGATAAACCATGCTTACTTTTATGTTCACTGTCCTTTTTATAATTTGTGTAACTCATTTTATGAATAATATTTTGTGTGTGTAACCTCCTAGAAACTTTGCCATTGCTTCCTTAGGAACTGCAATGCACCTTTGGGAGACGCTCACCCCAAGCAAAGGTAGCAGCCAGCAGTTAAGTGACACTCTGGGAGACACAAGATACCATGCTCCCTTCTGCCACTGGTTTTGCAGTGCTAGAAAAGACAGAGAGTCCTATCTTCTGGCGATTCCAGGTATTGCACCAGCATGTATCGGCAGGCAGCTGATACACTCAAAAGTACATAAATGAAACATTCAAGTTTCACTCCAGTTAACACCTCAATTTAGTTGGCTTCTGAACGTCCAGGGAATGATGATTTTCAAGTTGCTGTCACATATCTTGTGGTAAAAAAGCAACAGTACTACAATATCAGGGACATTTACCACTTACCACTGTTTTTTTTCTGGGAAGTATAGTATGAAATGCAAGAAAATCACCTGCAACAGTCAGTCCAACAGCATAACAGGCTAGTTTTAAAAAGCAATCAAATCTTACTGTAACTACACACACACAAGCTCCTGAGACAGCTACATAAAAAAAAGTATAAAGGTTACAGTCATAAACATTTAAGTGACCTGATGGACAGAGGTAACATGAAGTAAAATAGTAGCCTTCATTCTGTGAACAAAATTCATAGGTTCCAAAAAGAGCCCCAAACCCCAAACTGGATTTGAGTCTCTGATTTTGCTTCGTAGAACAAAAGCTTGATTCAGCTCTTTCTTTTTTACATCCTGTTGCTTTTACTCAAGAAGAGACAGTTTTCCATCTCAAAAATGATGCATATTTTTGGTTTATCAGTTCCTGGAAAGAATTTTAGACATTCTTATTTAGGGTTTCTGTACTTACCACTGCTCCACCACTTCTTGCCATTTATCACATAACTGTTTCCATCTCGTTCAATGCTGCACTGCATATTGGTGGCATCACTTGAAGCCACATCAGGTTCTGTGTTAAAGAAAACACCAAAACCAAAGCACGATTAAACACACAGGTAGTACTACCTCCACAAACATAAGGCTCTAGATATACCCTGTTGACAGTAACACTGTTTTGCTCCCAGTAGAAAAGCTGTTTTCGGAACCTCACCCTGCTGGTGGTTAAAAAGCCACCTTCCTACATCAAGAGCCAGGCCTTCCAGAGATGCTCAATGCTTTCAGAATTGAAACTAATGCTAAGCTACAAACGTAAAGTAAGTACATCATATGTTTTGCAAGTTATCTTCACGTTATGTTTTAAAACCTCTACCTATAACATACTGCAAAACTACACAAATCTAATCACAATAATCGTACCTAATTTATGTTGCCAGAGAACCCCAAAGCACATTAAAAAAAAAGGATAAGTTCTATTGTAAACCTGTCTGGTACAAAAAAAGAAAGAAAAAGTATTTTTCTGGGAAAAAAGATAAACTTAAAATATATGTAAAGCAAATACTAGTCATTGTAACCATGAAAAACCCTAACTACTGGGGAAGGGCAGCAAGCGTTCTTCACTTTGCCTCCTAGATGGTTTTATATTCAAACATATTCACAGATGCAGTGGAGATTGCTGTATTAATTCATTAACACATGCCAACTTGTAGTTCTATACTTTTTGCACATGCCATGTGAAATGTCTGCCCACTGTAATTTTCTTCTGGAGAAAAATTTACCTGTCATGCAGAAGCAAGAACTAATCCTCCCTTCTAGGAGAGGCTCCAGCCACTCTTTCTTTTGCTCTTCCGTCCCATACATGTGCAGGACCTCCATGTTCCCAGAGTCTATAAGAAATCAGCAGACATTTACTTCGGGAGACATACAACTCCTAAGGCATAAGATGCCCAACTTTTTAATGCTCTCAAGTGGTTTTGATACAGAACAGGACTGCTGACCTGGAGCATGACAATTGAAAACCTCAGGAGCAAAGAAGCATTTCCCAGTCTCCTCAGCTATTAGCGCGTAGTCAAGCTGGCTGAGACCACTGACATCTGGGAGAAAAAGGTTCCACAGACCTTCTGCTTTGGCCATTTCCTGTTGAAAGAATCAACAGAGAAAAACAACAATAAATTTAAAGCAAATAAAAAATTCTGGCTTGCTGCCTGTTTTGTTCCTTCCTGCCTAACACACTGTCCAAAATACCTCATGCCTATTTTCCACAGCTCTTTTCAATAGCTACAGTCTTTGACTTACAATTCAGACATATCCCTCACAGAACCCACTTTTGCTTTGCTCCTCTCTCATTTGTATCTCTCACCTTCTTTTGACTCCTTTCTTCCTTTCCTTTCACTGTTCCTCACACTGTTTCTTTCCATATGGAGTAGCTTCTCTAGCAGGATATGCCAAACATTCTTACACTCTGTGTCAGTGCCTGTTTCTTTTACTGCTAGAGTTCTCAAGTATATTTATTATCCCATACCTTCAGTTTCTCAAGCAGTGGTGGTTTCTTCCATTTTAGCTCAGTACTTCCATGTCCAGCATAGTATGCTATTATTTCCTTAGAGAAACAATTAAAAAGATATTGTTTAAATGAAGAACACATGTAACATACACAAGTAATAACATGGTGTCTTTTCCAGACCTATACCCCAAGAAACCAGTAAAAATATTCAACAGGTTTTATTATATAGTTGCTTGCAATCTATTTATTTTGTAAGACTTTAAATGCATCATGGAGATGATCCCAATCAGCTCCTTATTTCATACAGGGAATTGATTTGGGGTGGTTTAAAGCATGTGATGATGACATTAGTGTCAGTGTTTTCTGGTGATACAACTGTTACCAATGGTATGCGTAAGAGGCATGAACCCTACAGTAAAACAACAAATAAAAGCCTGATGCACTAACACTTCAGGTTCAGGTTTTCCATCATAACATTCACATATGTAAGCCAATTAATCTTTTTTTAACTGAGAAAAAAGCCAAACACCAAAAACCCCACGAATAATACATTTTATTTTCTTGTCAAAACAATTCCTAACAGGTTATGTAAGCAGTCATTCTGAGCTAAGTAAAACTGTCTATGCAGTTAACCCAAGTATTTTCACAAGCATGTTTCAGTGAGGCATGAAGCTGGCCCCTGGCCCAGAACTACTTTCGGAGTGCATACAAGTAGTGCCCTCTTCTGAAAATCACACAGTAAGACAAGTTCCCAAGTAGAATTTCTAAGTCCTGATCCACAAGTTATCAGAAATAACTTTGGAGCACAACACTACTCCATCTGCAAAACTTGCATGGCTATTTGTGGTTGGCTCGGTTTTAAAGTGAGTGCTTTAATTATAGCAAGGCTTCCTTGGAAAATCCAAAACTAACTACAAATAGGCTTTCAGGAAACTTTGCATATCAAGAGTTTCTGCTCCCACTCCTTCCTTGTGACAGGCAGATGCCTCCATACATCTTTCATGTTATCTGCACTTCTGCCTGACTGCAAAAAAATCAAGGAAAAAACCCACCAAAAGCCAAAAATCCTAATTCTGCAACACAAGCAATCTGTGCTTCCATTAGGGTGGAAGCTGAACCAAACTTTCCAAGTAGAATATTTCTAATATCCCTAAGCTAAGAATTAAGATGTTTCACCTCATTTTCCCTTCCACTAATTAGGGACTTTTGTAGATATGTTATTATCCAATTTCAAACCTTCACTCATATCAGATATATACAGGAATGAGGCTAAATTGATACATTGTGGAATCCCATTTTTTGATAGAATTCACACCTTAAAAATAAGGCAAGAAACAGAAACATTCATCCTTGTATGGTTAAAACCAGCAGTTTCCACTTTTTAAGCATCTTTCTGTTTAGTATGCAAGAGTTTTAGGGGTTTGTGAGTGGGAAATGTCTTCTGGCAAATACCTTCGAACAGTAACTCTTTTAAAAAAAGAACAGTTCATGAACTTTAAAAGGTTTTGAAAGTACCTCAGTTTTATTCACAACACAGACAACATTTGAATTCTGAAAAAAGGAAATGCTATATTCTATAAAGATTTCTGCTAATACTTTGCAATGCCACAAACGTCACTGCATGAACATAAGGCTGTTTTGAAAGAAATAAATAGGACGTGACTTCTCTGCAGTTTGACACGTTCATAAACTCTAGTGGTAGCATTTTAATTTATAAACAGGTTTACTGAAAGCTTTTACCTTCTCAGCTGGGTATATGTGCTGCTGCATGAACTGCTTCACCTTCAGCAACATGTCTTGGCCTTTCCTGCTTTGACGGAACAGCTCTCCAGAGATGCTGTCACGTGTGCTGCTGAAAGATGACCTAAAGAGGGACATGAAATGCAATAACAAGTAAGACCAAATTTTCCCTCATAATAATATAAGCTGCCTTATTCAGGCATTTAAAAAGTAAGGATGTTGTAAAAGCTTTGCCTTGCCTTTGACCAGTAGCTTAGACCACCCTTACCTTTCTGAGAGCTCTAACCCTTTCTCTGCCAAAGGCTTCACAATCTTAGCAAATTCATGACTATTCTCTGCAGCAGCATTTCCCAGGAGATATCTAGCATATATGCCCTAAAAACAAAAGAAAGGCACATATGGTATAATTAGGCACTTAAAATTGTCTCTTTAATAGACTGGTGATTTCCTCAACTATGAAAGTAACACTTAAATGCACATATTCTTAAAAGGAAAAAAATAGCACCCAGACAGATTAATAGTGGTTTTGATCCATCTCTGATATAATGAACATGCTTGGTGCCAACTGACAATAGTATACACATATTTATTATCCACAACTAAATTAACTACCCACATACACACTCTTACTCTGTATTAATACCAGGTAGCTTATCCCATATTTGGTGTGCTGAGCTCATGCTGCAAGTCATTAAAATATACTTATGCCCTATAATGGATGAATATTAAACAGTTACTTCTGCAACAATGAATCAAGGAACCTTTTTTTCTCCTCTAATCACATCTCAAGATTGGTCTCCTGTGCTTATAGTAAGCAGCTCCTTATCCATCCATGGAAGACTCCTGGTCTTCTTGTTCCATTTCCTTCTAGCAGGGACACAACACTCCTGAGCTTGGAGCAGGTGACCCTTGAATACCAACCAGCAGTTCTCGGCCCCCCTGCCCTCTAGGGCTTTATCCCATGGAACCTTTACTGAGCACGTTCCTGAAGAGGCCAAAGTCTGCTCTCATGAAGTCCAGGGCAGTGAGCTTGCTGCATGCCCTTCTCACTGCCCTGAGGATCTCAAAGCCAACCATCTCATGATCACTGCAGCCAAGGCTAACCTGGAGCATCACACTCCCAACCAGCCTCTCCCTGTTGGTGAGCACGATGTCAAGCATGGCACCTCTCCTTTCGGCTTCTCTATTACTTGCAGGAGGAAGTTGTCTTCTACACAACTGAGGAACCTCTTGGGACTGCTTGTGCCAGGCCATACCGTCCCTCCAACAAACATCAGGGTGGTTGAAGTCCCCCATGAGGACAAGGGCCTGAGAGTGTGAGGCTGCTCCTATCTGTCTATAGAGCACTTCATCCACAGAGTCCTCCTGATTGGGCGGCCTGTAGCGGATCCCCACAGTAATGTCCCCCATCGCTGTTCTCCCTTTAACCCTGACCCACAAGCCCTCTGTTGACTGACCACCTGTCTCCAGGCAAAGTTCCATACTCTCCAGCCTATCCCTAACATAAATAGCAACTTCCCCTCCCTCTATGCCAGGCCTTTCTTTCCTAAAGAGCCTGTAACCTTCCATTCCAACACTCCAATCATAGGGGCCATCCCACTATGTTTCTGTGATCCCAACAATATCGTATCATAGAATCATAGAATAGTTAGGGTTGCAAAGGACCTTAAGATCATTTAGTTCCAACCCCTGTCAAGGACAGGGACACCTCACACTAAACCATGTCACCCAAGACTCCATCCAACTTGGCCTTGAACACTGCCAGGGATGGGGCATTCACCACTTCTCTGGGCAACCTCTGCTAGTGCCCCACCACCCTCACAGGGAAGAACTTCTTCCTTATAATTAACCTGAACTTCCCCTGTTTAAGTTTGAACCCATCACCCCTTGTCCTGTCACTAGAGTCCCTAATGAAGAGTCCCTCTGCAGCATCCTTGTGGCCCTCTTCAGACACTGGAAGGCTGCTCTGAGGTCTCCACACAGCCTTCTCTTCTCCAGGCTGAACAGCCCCAACCTTCTCAGCCCTGTAGATGTGCACACATCTCTAATTCCTCTTGTTTATTCCCCATTCTATGGGCATTTGTATAGAGGCATCTGAGCCGAGCTCTACATAAAGTCAACTCATTGGCTGGAGCGGCTGAAGTAGCTCTGCATTGCTCCAAGCATTTATTACAAGTGCTGGCAACTGACTGGAAACATCAGCTGACCAGCCTGGCAAGTTTCCTACCAAAGCAGCTCTTCCCCTTGTCAGATCAGCTCCACCAGCCTCCAATAGGCCTCCCAGATCAAGTTCCATCTTCTAAATAACCAAACCTGTGACTATGGCACCACACTTTTAATCACTTATTAACCTGCCAGATCCACCTGGCCTTTCCAAGGTTTTTCCCTTTGACCTGGAGAATTGATGGAAAAAACCTGAGCCCCAGAGCCCCTAACCACCTTTCCCTGTATTTTGAACAAGTATTACCAACTACAAATACTCATAAGAAAACCATGTGACATTTCAGCAAATGTGAGTGTATTACCTGGGATATTGCTGCCATCTTGAAGTATGACAAAGCAAGAAAAAAGTTAAAGTCAGCTAAAGTAGTGCTGATACCCCGGCAGCGGCAGTAAATGGAAACCAGTTCTTCAAATGAGGGGGTTTCTACAAAAGAACAACAGAATATTTTAGAATATTCAACATTTTCTATTATTTTTCCACCTTATTCTTTAAATATCTGAACAGTTTTTCAGCTTTATTCCACTGACGTAGTAAACAACATGATTTAGCACTTCTCATGATCTAAGCGTGGTATAGAGAGCTAAGAGGACATAGGAGTTGTCAGAATTTCAGATGGACAGAACACTTTTTACTGCCCCTTGCCTCTACTCCATCAGGAAATCAATGTCACCAAGGGGCAGGGGGGGTGTTACTCCTAATCAATGATAAATTTACATTTTCAATTCAGGCTTCTTCCATTATCTCCAAGAAAGGTTCAAAATAAACTTTTGCAGAAGTAGCATCCTGTGGCTGAACCACAGGTTGTTAAAACAGGACCTTAAACCTCCCTACCAGCCTGTTTTCTCCTACGAAGAAAACAATGAAAAAGTTCTTTGCAAGTGCAAATTTACGTGCTTATTAATTAAATATCTTAATTATTATCATAAAGTTAACACATCAAAATAGAAATCAACCCTGGGATTCATTTCAACAAAAAGATTACAGTTTCATACCTACAGTGTCTTTGAAACCCAAGATAGTTCCTTGACCTAAGTCTTTAACAGACGCAGGCCAAAAGTAGAACAGAGTGGCATATGCTAAATCTGCTAGAGGATGACCAGCAGTTGAAAGTTCCCAGTCCAGCACTGCCAAAACACGAGCCTTAAGGAAAAGCAAAAACCTCAAGTGAACGCTAGAAGATAAATTCTCGCCATTCACAAATGCACAACACACTTATCCAACAGCTTTACTCGGTTATTGTATGTTTAAAAACACACACTGTGGCTGTCTACGGCAAACACGGTTCCTTTTAGCACTAGGTAAGGATCCGTAGAAAAGTAATATTCCTATAGGGCACAAAACAAGAACTTTTCCAATGAAATTCTGGTAAGAATTTTTCATTTTTGAGTAGTGTTCTTCCTGTCAGAAAGTTCTAAACTCTCCTGGTCAAAATACGATTGGATTAAAGTATCCTAAAGAACAGTAGTACTGACAATTGGGTTGGTTTGGGGGTTTTTTTTTGGTTTCCAATTCTGTTGCACAGATACTCATGGACAAAACACTAGTGTCTCATATTATGCATTGGGTAACACGTATGGTCATCCTGAATGACACCTCCAGCCTACTCGTGATCCAGGGCCACTTAATCTATGGGCAAAAGACTTTTTCCGCATATACAGTTCCTACAGATTATTTCAAACTACCTATTTACAGTTTGGTTGATTCTTTCAACTGCATCAAGAACAGCACAGAGAGTTCCTGGCACTGCCAGATCCTCTCTGCTCAGGAAGTCTGTCAGCCCATTTAAGCCTAGAGTGTCTATCAACTGATCTAATGTTGTCTATCAACAATAGGAATCTGTGGGACCTGTTCCTTGTTGTGAAACAGGAATTGCAAAGTCTTGGTCACAAATCCCCAGCATTTGTTCTGCTCAGAACCCAGCAAATAACGAAAAACCCAGGAAAAAAAGATAATGACAATGCAATCGTGTTGACAGATAGGTAACACATGTTTATTTAAGAAACTAAAAAAAAATCCCTTTTCCCTAAAGATGAATGAGGAACTTCAGGGTCTCTGTGATCTACACGTGCTCCATAACTAAGCAGCTTTGGCAGGTTTTTCTTTCCTTCTACTAGCATCATGTATCATCCATTCAGATCCTGTTCTAAAAGCCATTGTTGTTAACTGAAGCCATACCCCTGATTTCAATGGGCTTTGGATCAGATGCTTATGAAGTGAGCCTTCATATGCTCTTAAGTTGCACTGAATTCAACTGGATTTATATATATTGTGTCCAATTCTGGGCCCCTCAGTTCAAGAAGGACAGGGAGCTGCTGGAGAGAGTCCAGCGCAGGGCAACGAAGATGATTAAGGGAGTGGAGCATCTCCCTTATGAGGAAAGACTGAGGGAGCTGGGTCTCTATAGTTTGGAGGAGACTGAGGGGTGACCTTATAAGTGTCTATAAATATATAAAGAGGGAGTGTCACAAGGATGGAGCCAGGCTCTACTCAGTGGCAAACAATGATAGGACAAGGGGTAATGGGTACAAACTGGAACACAAGAGGTTCCACTTAAACTTGAGAAGAAACTTCTTCTCAGTGAGGGTGACGGAACACTGGAACAGGCTGCCCAGGGAGGTTGTGGAGTCTCCTTCCCTGGAGACATTCAAAACCCGCCTGGACACATTCCTGTGTAACATTATGTAGGTGTTCCTGCTCCAGCAGGGGGATTGGACTAGATGATCTTTCGAGGTCCCTTCCAATCTCTAGCATACTGTGTGATACTGTGTGTGTGATATAAAATGTCTTGTTCCTGGACTCTGAAGTAGGGACTAGAGCTAATGAATAAATCAAGTTACTAGCTCCTGCAGTGAAAACCAGGACTGTATAAGGTAGCTAAACACCATAGACAGAGCATGGAGAAGCGTTAAGTTTTCCACTGTTCCTTTCAAACATGTATCATGTGCCAAAACACCCACCTAAGTGTCCCATTACATGGTACGAGTACAAACAAATGGAGGACCAGAACCTACTAAACATGTACAGACATATTTCAAATACCTCTGTTGGGTGGAAGATGATGTTATCTATTCTAAAGTCCCCATGAATCAGGCTTTCTTCATTATCATCCGGTGGCAAGTTGTTTGCTAACCACTCAGCCAGTTTGTTCATGGCAGGAATATCGGTATGAGCAGCTGCATCATACTGTCTTTTCCAAGTTGATACCTAAAGGGATACAAGCATTTCAACAGGTTCACAAGTTTTTCATGAGCTCTAATTTCTGAAGCATATGCTTCTGGGTTTTGCCTATTACCATGTTACCTCTGTTTTCTATCTCAATCCTATTTACAGAGCCCAAATCTAATATTATTCCAAAAGTGAGTAAATACAATTTCCTGAGTATAGCATTACAGAATTGATCTGAATGTAATACTAACTTTATACTGTGCACAAATAATTGAACTAAGTGAAGGCATTTAACAGCTAAAATATGACGGTTACTTCACAAGTCATTAATAACAACAATTTAGCTTGCAAATCAAACAAATCTTCAAAGACCTGACAAAACAAGAGACTTCTTGAAGACCTGTACCTGTCTCCTGCAGTATCCTGGTCCTCTCCCATATCCTTGGAGACCCAATGACTGTAAATCAAAGGAGTGCAAGAGGGCCAAAGTTTCTATCATTGCAATATACAAAGCAGAACGCTCTGCTGGGCCCACCTCAGGCAGGGACACGTCTCGGAAGATGCGACCCTGGAAACATCAGAAATCAGGTACTTGGTGGGATGTACACATCTCACAAAGAGAAGTTAAAGTTCTACATTTCAGGAGCAAAACTAAATGCAGGGAACCAATACTCCCTATGCAATCAAAAATGCCTTCCTCACTTATTTTATTCCTTGCCCAGGACATATGAATGGATTCACAGTAATCTCAGATCATTAGTATGTCTATTGGAAGGCAACTAAAACAACAGGTGTATTCAGTAGTGAAAGTCTGAATTGGAGCACTCAATCCAGATATCCTCAAACTAAAGTACTGAGGGGTGGGGTGGGGGGAATGAAAGGTTTCTCAGTTGTCTCTAACAGCTAAATTCCAGAAAAAAACTATTAATGAAGACCCTAGGGGAAGGGGAAGCAGTTTAACATGTTTAGAACATGGGTGTGTTCTTCCATTTTCTCCTTTAACACTTCCAGTAACAGACTGGAAAAGAAAAAGCAGACTCTTCTTTAAGTTCCTCAGTTTCACTGGTTCACACAATGGCTTCAATGTGTTTCTATTTTCCCAGTGAACCACATGACAGAGAAGGATGCAGTGAAAAGGGAAGAGGCCCTAGTTCCAATCTTCCTCTCACAGTATATAAAAAAACAAAGCGATGATACAGCAGACTTCAAATCTAGAATCACCAAAACCTAGCAGAAACAGAATCAACTCTACCACAGAACCCCTAGAGTGATGGACCACAGACAGAGCTATGCCATGTTCCTTCTGAAACTCGGGCTTGAGCTGGAACCCTGCTTGGTTTTCAAGAAAAGGTGATTGTAAGCAGATTCCTGTCTTCAGTAGTAAAGAGGCCCCAGGATGTCCCAAGGTTCAGTATAACTTTATACCTTGGTTGTTCTCACTCTGCCTTGTGTATGGTTTGCACAGAAGCAATATTGCCTCATTTCAAGACATCTTTCTGAGAGCTCTAAACGAGACCAAGAGGTTACATACTAAGCTAAAAACTTCAACAAAGTGGGAAATAAGTCCTGAAGAAGCTGAAATCAGTGTGAATTTCCAGTATCCAACATTTCTTAAAATACCAGAGGATTGCTTATGTTTATATCACAAAATGCAGTAAACGCTGGGCAAGGCTCTAACAGGAAGAGTTTTAGAGAATTTAAAAGCAGTTTGTAGTAGAGAGAAGAAAAAAAATCCCTTACATTAGAAGACCAACCTGCACATGCTGCATTACGTAAAACTCTGTTCCAATGATAGAAACATCACTGCAATAAAACAGTGGTTCAGGCACTGGAAATCCAGCTGAAAATAAGGCTTTCTGCACACGATATTCTCTATCAACCTGAAGAAGACACAGAAATTTAGGTTCAATGAAAAGTTCCCAAACACAAATCTGTGAACAACAGTGTATCCTCCTCAATGACACGTATAGTATAGCACAGAGAACTGTAAATGATCCAGCAATTCACTGCATTTGTGGACACATTCAACCATGTGCCACACCACCATGTACCAGATTTAGCAATACAAAGTGTCTGGACCTTGATGAAGTATGTTCCTTACCTTGTGAGCTCTAGGTAATAGGGGGCCATGGGGCTTCTTCCTGAGCACATAAGCCTTTTCACCCTTCTGAAGATAAAAGGTTGGATTTGACTGGCCTGAGCTACAAAGAGAAAGATTATAGTTACTTACAAATTCAAGTACTTACCATTTTGCAAACTTTCAACAGAAACGATGCAAAATGCACTGTGACTTGGCCTGAACAAAATGGCAGACAGAGGACAGGGCTCTTCTCAAGAGTTGTATGCTGGCTTGGTTTGTCTGGTTTTTGGTTTTTTTCCCCCAATATAGTCTTACAAGGATGCAAGTGATAGCCTACAAATTCAGAAGCCAGAGGTTCTATTCCTGCCTATAAGGAAGATGTCTTCTTGCACTACAGAGAGGTCACAGATACACAATTTGGTCTCCTGCGAAATGGAGATGGCATTTACCTCTCCTCCCTAAAGAGACATCATTAATGTTTCAGGGTATGCAGTAGATACTAACTGTAAAGCTTTCTGATTTGGGGGAAATCAAACAAAGCAGAATTCACACTAGCCCAGAACTGTATTTGTCCTCTGGCAAGCTGTATTTTGAATAACATAAGTACAGAGAAAACTCTCCAAATAACTGATGATTCTAGTACCAAACCCCACTGTATGCTGTCCTGATTATCACATACCTATGCTACGCTTAAAGGACTGCCTATAGTAACTGTAAAATTTTAAAGAACGAATGTTACAGTGACAAGGAATCATAGAAACTACACATTTCAATCACATACATGTGTAAAAGACAAGGACAACCTAGTTAAACCCTTCACAAGGCTTAGTCTATCATATCCCAATCAAGCTTATTGATCCTCACCTGCCTTCCTCTCCTCCTTCCAGATCATTTTTAACACGCATTCTGACCTAGTCCCATAAAAGATTAGACAACTAGCAGAAAACCCAAATCAAGTGAACTTTTGCCCTCATGCTCCCCACAATACTTCCATTCTCCCTGAGGCAGTAAGGGCATAGCCTGTAATAGAGTTTAAGGAGTATACTGCAGAGACAAACACTGCCTGGAACAAAAGAGGTTTAAATCAGTTGAAGCTTCAAACTGTAACCACAAGACAAAGAAAGTAGTAGAAGCATAGTGACAGTATTTTAGCAGATTTAAGTAACAGCTACTCCTGAGGCCCCTTCTACAGTTTCCTCAATTGAAGGATTAAAGTAGCTGAGGATACTATGGATGATCTATATTCGCATCAGAAGACAATGAAAACTTGTTTACTGGTTCTTAGTGAAAGCTGCAGGTGAAGCAGCTGAAGTCATGTTTACAAAGGAATTAATACTTTTAGAATAATGTAACATCTAATTGCTCCCGATCTGAAGTCACACCATTGATCTGCTGAGCGAAAATAAGCTAGGTGTTCCCTGCAACAGCAGCTCTAGAGCCTGGGGGTAGCACCTTGCTGGTGCAATGCTTTGCCCTGCAGGCATTACTGGGCATCTCAGAATATCGTTAGGCTCTTTTTGTGGATTTGTTTACCTGGCCATAACTGAAGGCTTTTAAAATTGATTTCTTAAGCCATGTATGTGCTTCTGAACATTATTATTTGCTGTTCAATTAAAGATTAATCACATAAAGTGAGATTTATGAGTAGGCAATAAAACAACCGTGTGTATACTTGCAGCAGAGTGCACCATAAAGGGCCACATACATGCTCTTCTGAGGACAGTGGCAAGTCCACCCAACACATCATAGAATCATCAGAATCCCAGACTGGTTTGGGTTGGAAGGGACCTTAAAGCTCATCCAGTTCCAACCCCCTGCCATGGGCAGGGGCACCTCACACTAGACCAGGTTGCTCCAAGCCCCTGTGTCCAACCTGGCCTTGAACACTGCCAAGGATAGGGCAGCCACAGCTTCTCTGGGCACCCTGTGCCAGCGCCTCAGCACCCTCACAGGGAAGAACTTCTGCCTAAGAGCTCATCTCAGTCTCCCCGCTGGCAGGTTAAAACCATTCCCCTTGTCCTACCCCGACATTCCCGTCTCCTGCCTGCAGACTGCCACCCGCTGAGCCATAGGTCCCCTTTGCCTCCACTGTGAACTTTCACTTCTCCCGCTGCCCAGTGGAAGCCCTATTACCTCGATGGCCGCTGCCTGCTCTCCCCAGGGCAAAGGGCCTGAACGCTGCCCACCTTTCCTGCCGGGCAGCGGGCAACGCCTCAGCCTCTCAGGGTGCCCCGCAGCATAACGCTTCGGGGCTACGCTCTGCTCCGCGCCGAATGGCGCCCCACGGGAGAGGGCCCGTGTCAGCAGCCAGGGAGCAGCCCCACCGGTTACCTGTACTGCCTGACAGCGAGCGCCTCCGCGGGCTGCCGAGGGAAGCCGGGCAGGTGGCTGCACAGGTACCGCTCCAAGCCCCGCTGGTCGAAGCGGTGCTCCTGGCGCACCTCACCCGTCCCCGGCTCCGCCGCCATCCTCGCCCTGCGCCGCCGCCGTACCTTCTGTGCCTGCCCTCCGCGCCGCTGCGCCCCGCCCGGCCCGGCATCGCCCCGGCAACGGGAGGCGGATCGGTCCGTCAGGAAAGCGGGCGCCGGCGCCGGGCCTGCGAGGGGCCCATAGAGTCATGGAAACAACCGGGTTGGAAAAGAGCTTCAAGCTCATCCAGTCCAACCGTTCCCAGCACTGCCAAGGCCACCCCTAACCCATGGCACTGAGGCCTCGTCTCCACGCTGTGTGAACACTTGCAGGGACGGTGACTGCAGCCCTGCCCTGGGCAGCCTGGTCCAATGCCTGAGCACCCTCTGGGGAAGGAATTGTTCCTCAGCTCCACCTAAACCTGCCCTGGGGCAGCTTGAGGCCGTTTCCTCTTGTCCCGTCCCTTGTTCCTTAGGAGCAGAGACCGACCCCACCTCACTACAACCTCCTGTCAGGCAGCTGTAGGGAGCGATCAGGTCCCCCCTGAGCCTTCTCTTCTCCACACTGAACCCCCCAGGTCCCTCAGCCGTTCCCCATCACACTTGTGCTCCAGGCCCTGCACCAGCTCCATTGCCCTTCTCTGCCCCCCCTCCAGCCCCTCAATGTCTCTCTTGCAGTGAGGGGCCCAGAACTGAACACAGGATTCGAGGTGCAGCCTCACCAGTGCCCAGCACAGGGGCACAATCCCTGCCCTGGCCCTGCTGCCGCACTGGTGCTGATCCAGGCCAGGATGCTGGTGGCTTCTTGGCTGCCTGGGCACAACCTGCTCATGTTCAGCTCCATCAACCAGCACCCCCGGGTCCTTTTCCATGAGCAGCTTTCCAGCCGCTCCTCCCCAGCCCTGGAGCAGTGCATGGGGCTGTTGTGGCACAAGTGCAGGACCGGCTCTCGGATACGGACGGCTTCTTCTCGGAAGAACGCGGCCCCTCGGAGGTCGCTCCTGCCGCGGCTGGCAGCTGCCCTCCGCCATGGCCACAGCCGTTCGTTGCCCTCTGTGAGGCGCCAAGAGCCCCTCTTGAGGCGGGAACGCTCCTGAGGCGCCGGCGCTGTCGGGGGACGGCGCTCGCTGCCGCACCCGGAAGCTCCGTCAGGCGGCCGGGCAGACGTGTCGCTGCCATGGCGGAGCCGGGCCGGCTGGAGCGGCTGGAGCAGCGGGTGCGGGAGCTGGAGGACGAGCTGGCCCGGGAGAGGGGCGGGCGGGCGGAGCCGCGGGCCCGCATCGAGACCATGAGCCCGGAGGTGACGGACACCAACCCCTACAGGTGCGGCCGGGGGCGGCGGGCTGCGCCGGCGGGGTCGGGCTATGGGAGGGCGCCCGGACCGAGCCGTGGGGAGGCGGGAGGGGTGCGGGGTCTGAGGCCGTGGGGCTGGGGAAGGGGAAGAGGCGTGTGGAGGTGGGCCCGTGCGGGCGGGGGTCTGAGGGTCATGCACTTGGGCCACAACTATCTCACACTGACCAGGTTGCTCCAAGCCCCTGTGTGCAGCCTGGCCTTGAACACTGCCAGGGATGGGGCAGCCACAGCTTCTCTGGGCACCCTGTGCCAGCGCCTCAGCACCCTCACAGGGAAGAACTTCTGCCTTAGATCTAACCTGAACTTCCCCTGTTTCAGTTTGAACCCATCACCCCTTGTCCTATTGCTATGGTCCCTGATGAAGAGTCCCTCTCCAGCATCCTTGTAGCCCCCTTCAGATACTGGAAGCTGCTCTGAGGTCTCCACACAGCTTCTCTTCTCCAGGCTGAACAGCCCCAATGTTCTCAGCCTGTCTCCATACAGGAGGTGCTCCAGTCCCTGATCATCCTCGTGGCCTCCTCTGGACTTGCTCCAACAGCTCCATGTCCTTATGTTTGGGACAACCCTTGCCCATGGCAAGGGGTTGGAAGGTGGTGATCTTAAAGGCCTTTTCCAACCCAAATCATTCTATGGCTGGTCAGACAGTTCTGTGAAGGCAGATGCCCTGTGGTGAGAGAAGCTCTCAGATTTAACAGGGGGAGCGAGAGAAGACTGGGTTTTTCAGCTAAGTTGCTACTAAACGTGACAGGTGTTGGTATTGCATGAGGTCTTATTCCTCTAACTTAACTATTTTAGAGTTTGGATTTGAGAAGTCTTGAGCATCTGCAACCTCTTCTAATGCTCAGCGCTCTGGAATTCTGATGCATTATTTTTTTCAGGATGAATTGCTTTAATACATGTTGATTCTTGTACTTCCTTCGATGCTTTCAATGAAAAAATGCAATAGCAGGACAAAAGATTACTTCAAAATTCTTCCAGTTATCCTCATAACCTCTGGCTTTTAGTTTATTTTCCTTTAATGTGATGCCGGAGTTAATCTAATTAAATTGATCAGAAAGAAGAAGAGTCTTCACTGGGCTGCTGCTGTGTGGTTCATTACAGGAAAATGTGTAGAGTTTCAATGTGAAAATCAGGGATTCATTTACAAAGATAGCTATGGAGTTCAGTGATGCTACCTCATACCAGCTGAGTAAGTAGACGAGTTTCTGCAGGCTGAGTATTCTGTTGAAGGAGTAATAGGAAAGCATCTGCTATCTCATTTAGGCGATATCTAGCTGTCAATCACAACTACAGTGAAAACAGCAGGCTTGAGTTTAGTGCTTGGTGGGGTTGTCTTTAAGCAAAAGGATTTTAAGTACTTGAAAAGCAAAATTGCTTATAGTACTGTAGAGAGCATTGTCTATATAATGTTACTGTTTTTTCTTCATAGTCGCTTGATGGCGTTAAAAAGAATGGGAATTGTCGAAGACTATGAGGTAGGATTCTGTCTGCATTGAAACAGCCTTGCACTTCCTCCCTGTGAGGACCAATTCTGATGAACTGATGTGCTTTTGGTTTCTTTCTGCAGAAAATCCGTACCTTTACGGTCGCAGTCGTAGGTGTAGGTGGAGTTGGGAGCGTGACTGCTGAAATGCTGACACGGTGTGGCATTGGTAAGGTAATGAGAGCTTTCTTCCTCTGCTTCTTTACAGTAGATGGACCAGTGGTCTTCATAAAGAACTAGATTTGATTTCACTCAGTTGATTTCAGGCAATAAAAGAGTAGTAAAGAAAGCATTCAAGAGCAGCACTTGCGTAAACATCACATTTACTTAGGGCTTAATCCTCAGTCATGCGAATAATTTTTGTTTGGATGCTTGTCTTCCTGCTCTGATATTCCAGTGTGAGTGCTCTGTCCCTGGCAGTGTTCAAGGCCAGGTTGGATGTGGCTTTGAGCAACCTTGTCTAATGGAAGATGTCCCTACCCATGGCAGGGGGTTGGAACTGGATGATCTTAAGGTCCTTTTCAACCCAGACCATTTTGTGATTCTATATCAGCCCATCTATCTAAACTTTGTAATGGATTATTGCAGAAGGAAAACAAAATAAAGGAGGGGGTAACTGACATAGATGCTAAAGTTTTATGAGAGCAAGTTGATAGACCTGAAGTTGAAATATGGTAGACGTAGAACTGGTATTTTTGTCACATATATTAGTTTGTCCTGTGGCACTTGGAGCTAAAAAGTTAGCAGCGATTCAAAGGAATTTGATGTGTTTATCAAGAACCTGCAGAGTTAAAAAACAGGCTTTTTCCTTAAAGAAGGAATCTGGGAAATGGCTTAGATGTTTGTATTTCCAGGCAAATCCTGACCATATACTCTTGGAACTTCAAGAAGTTTCTTAAATGCAGAGGTGATGCAATTTTTGATTGCAAAGTTTATTCCCCCTTCCTGTGAAGGAGCATTTCCTGAAGACCAGCATCTTGGGCACAGAAAAGGACATTGGACAGTTGATTCAGAGTTTATAATACTCAACGTGTCTGTGTATGATGTAGGTATTTTAAGTGAATTATTTTTGAAGAGCTACTTGCCTGGACAAGCGAAAGAAACGATGTGTTCCTAGTTAATGCCATAACAGCAAGTAGGAATGTGGTAACAGAGATTACAGTGTTCATGTAGATAATCTGTTGAATATTCCTAGTTTAGATCAAATGGACAGATTGGTTTTTAAGAGTGGTTTTCATGACTTGGTCAGTTCCTGTTGAATAGTACTTAGAATTCAGTTTTTCACATACAATCTTAGGAGCTTTTATATGTGAACTGAATGGAACTGTGGAAGTGGGGGTTGTTTGGTTGGGGATGGTTTTGTTGTTGGTTTTAGAGTGAGTTTTGTTGTATAAAATGCCTTGCCATGATGCTCTGGTTGCACAGTCTTTGTGTTATCATAAGTGAATCTCCAATCTTCGTTGTAGCTGCTTCTGTTTGATTATGACAAAGTGGAACTGGCAAACATGAACAGACTCTTCTTCCAACCTCATCAAGCTGGATTAAGTAAAGTGCAAGCAGCAGAGCATACTTTGAGGTATGACTTAGAGAAGTGGGTATCAAAATGTATTTACCCAGGATACTGCTCCAGAAGACTGATGTTTCACTCTTAATCACTTGCAAAGTAGCCTGATCTCATTTGGAAATGTGAGTATAAAATAGTTGTGAGAATGGTTGGTACTTTATGGACAATTTTTATACTGACCAAAACCTTAATGGGAGTCTTTTTAAGTATGGCTAATTCTGCTCAAAAGTTTGGTATAAACTATGCCACTTCAGTGTTGTGGGGCTTTCCTAATCTGTGAATTATTGATAAATACAGATATATTCTAAATGTCAGACTGGAAGCTTAACACTGTAGGAACACTTGTGAAGTTAGGGGGTAGAATGCAAGTTATCATATTTACTGATATTGGCTCATATTATTTCCTCCATAAGGAATATTAATCCTGATGTTCAGTTTGAAGTACATAACTACAACATCACAACACTGGACAACTTTGAACACTTCATGGATAGAATAAGGTAAAATCTCTTAACAAAAGCATCTTGGTAACTTCTGCTGATTTGTGGTTCCTTCTGTACGGCCTGACTTTTATTGGGTGGGGGGGTTTGATTTAATGGCTTCCAATTGAAAACCAGTGGGAAATATATATATATATTATGTGGAGACATTCCTACCTAGACCTTTTCTTTGGAGTTGGCCTTATTTCATAGAATCACAGAATGGTTTGGGTTGGAAAGGACCGTAAGATCATCCAGTTCCAACCCCCTGCCATGGGCAGGGACACCTCACACTAGACCATGTCACCCAAGGCTCTGTCCAATGTGGCTTTGTGTGTACTTATTTGCACAGGTTTTGTTAGATACACACTTCCCAGGTGCTCCAAAGCACCATGTGGATTGCCACACTGACATTTTGTTCTGCCAGCAGTTTCACACAAACTTCTGGTGCTTATTTCAGTAACGGGGCACTAGAGGAGGGGAAGCCTGTGGATCTTGTTCTGAGCTGCGTGGACAACTTTGAAGCTCGTATGGCAATTAACACGGTAAGGCCATCGAGGGCATGAGCTTGTGGAAGTCTGTTTTCTCCTATAAATAATGTTAGGAAGTGTGGGGACTAGAGAAAAGACAGGGACTTATCAGAATGTTCTAAGAAATTTCCTCCTTGGTTTAAGGAAGCAGAATCTGAGCTTTTACCCCATTCTCATAAAACACATGCATGAATATAACTGTAGACCTTTAAGTTTCTAGCAGCTAATGGTTAGCAAAAGTTATGTGTTATAAGCCCTCTCCATCTTTCCAAATTACTGTTTATATAAAGGTATGATCAAAGCCTGGGATGTTAAAGCTTTCAAACTCTTTAGACTGTGTATAGCTCATTGTATACTTCATGTGACTTGTTGTATACTTGTATATAAAGTGCCTTGAGGCTGTGTACCTAGTCAGATTGTGTTTATAGTAGCAGGCAACATAGGGTATATGCCAAGTGCATGTTTTCTGTTATCCTTTGGCTAACATGATCCATAAATTACGTGCACTGAAGGTCCACAGATACGCCGTATAATAGTAGTTTGTGCAATGAGATTCTGTAGCGTGCTGGTGACTGGATCACTAATGCCTGTAGTTGTTCAAAAATGTCAGGTCCTTAGGAAAGCACAAAGGATATACATGGCCATACAAAGGACATGTCCATCCTGAGGACAACTTTAAGTTGTCCTTTGACTCAGCCGAGTAATTTCTGTTCTACATTTTTTCCTGATTATAGCCTTTTTGTCTTAAGGCAGGAAGATCCATGTTTTTAACCCCTCTCAATTTACACTCTGTGTGGTTTTGTTTTGGTGTTTCTGTGTTTTTAAGGCCTGCAATGAACTTGGACAAATCTGGATGGAATCTGGAGTGAGTGAAAACGCAGTGTCAGGACATATCCAGCTGATCATACCTGGGGAATCCGCGTGTTTTGCGGTATGCATTGCTCTGCTGAATTGCTTGTTTGGCTCTTAAGCAGGGCTGGGAATGTGAAGATGAGCTGGCTAGGGAATGTGATCCTGGCACAGCTGAAGGGGTAGCTTAAAATCTTGTGTCATCTGGGGTGGGGGTAGTACTTCTCTTAAAACTTTATTTCTGTGCCCTCAGTGTGCTCCTCCACTCGTAGTTGCTGCAAATATTGATGAGAAAACACTCAAACGGGAAGGAGTTTGTGCAGCCAGTCTCCCTACAACTATGGGCGTTGTGGCAGGAATTCTTGTACAAAATGTTCTCAAGTAAGTGACCAAGTTGTTGCTATTCCGTGTTCAGCACAATGAGAGAAAGAAACCTGAGGGGAGATGTCATGATGATGGGTCTGTTTTTTTGAGCAAGCTGGTCCAGTGTGAGGTGTCTCACAAGAGCAGAGCAGAGGGGCAGGATCACCTCCCTCAACCTGCTGCTCACGCTGCTTTTGATGCAGCCCAGCACACGGGGGGTTTGGGGGCTCAAGCGCACACTGAAGCTGCTCATGTTCAGTTTCTTATCAGCCAACACCCCCAAGTCCTTCTCCTCAGGCTGCCCTGAATCTCTTCTCTGCCCAACCTGTAGCTGTGCCTGGGATTGCTGTGACCCAGGTGTAGGACCTTGCACTTGGCTGGGTTGAGAGGTTGGCACTGGCCACCTCTCAAGTGTGTCAAGGTTTGTATGTTTATTTCCATTGCATCTCTGACCCTCCAGTAAAGATGATTAAGCTGGTTCTGATTAGCTGCTGAAAACTCTCTCATTGTAATACAGGACAACTGAGCATTTCAAGCAGTGGATCAAGGCAGAGGAGAAAACTTCTCATATGCTACTCTAAACCTATTTTCTGTGAGACTATAGCTGACCTGTTCTCACACTTACACCACAAAAGCCTCTATAAGAGTTCTATGTTGATGCAGTTATCCCACTGTTAGGTGACTACAGCTTGTTTCAGGACAATTACAGTAGCTCCTTACAACTGCATTAGTACGAAAGTATATTCTAAAAGTTGAGGAAAAAGGATCCCTTGAGCGAACGAATCTGTACATAAGGACCTGCTTTCTCCGTGTTTCTAGGTACCTGTTAAACTTTGGTACTGTGAGTTACTATCTCGGTTACAACGCGATGCAGGATTTCTTTCCAACTATGTCTATGAAGCCAAACCCACAATGTAGTGACCAAAATTGCAGAAAACAGCAAGAAAATTATAAGGTAAAAAGATTTGCTAGTTTTGATTTGTTTTTGCTCCTCTCTTAAAGTCTTAAGAACAAAACAAGCTACAGATCTGTAGCAGAAGAAAACTTACATTGCTACTCCAGTTTTCAGCAGCATTGTCTTCAGATGGTTGGATGTGTTCCTAAAAACACAGTACTTGGCATTATCTCAAAGCAAAGGGGAGCAGAATTGACATTCAGTTAAATAGTATTTTCTTCTACAGTGATTACTCAACCTTTCTGGCAGTCATGGGTTTGAGTGTTAACAGGTTTGGGTTTTTCCCTTGCAGGTATTCTGCCTTTTTATGCCCTACAAAGTTCTGAATAGTGACTGCATGCCTTAAATATTCAAAGGAGTGTCAACATTAGATATGTTCTTTCTTGCTGTTGTGGGACTATTACATACATTATGGTGTTTATCTTTTTGTGGTTTTCCCTCAGAAAAAAGCAGCTGCACAGCCAAAAGAAGAAGTAGTTGAACAGCAAGAGGAAATAGTACATGAAGACAATGACTGGGGTACGTATTCAGCGGGAGACTCAATGACGTTCGCAGTATGGAGATTCAGTTAAAGTCTTTGGTTTGGGTAACACACTGCAGGGTACGTGGACTCCTTATGTTCCCAGCTTTTGTGACTTACACTGTGTAGCTCCTGCTGGCTTTTCACAGGGTTTGATAGTAATGTTACCACAACTCAGTGATGTATTTTTAGTGTAATGTGCAGGTTTTAGCCTCAAAATGCAACAGCTGTTGGAATAAGAAACTTTCTCAGGAGATGGTCTGAAGATATAAAAGGTGTGAGAAGATTTACTCACTGTGTAACTAAATACGTAACTCAATAGCTTTTGTCATTCCCTACCCACTGTGCTGAACCATCCCCTGGATCTTTATGTTCCTCTCAGGGCTTTAAGTTAGAAGGAATTGCCTTAAGGAATGGTGTGTTTTGTATAGCCGTTTCAAGAAAAGACATATATCTTCTGTTTATTACATGATACAGAAAATAATCTTAGCTCACCATTGGGAGAAGTGCCCTCACAGTAAGATTTAAATGGTAAGGAGAAGGAAGTCCTATAGGAGAGGTGCCATTCTTGTCCATAGATTTTAATACATTGTCAAGGGAAAATATTTTGTATTGATCATGGAATGGAGAAGCTGGAATCAAAGATCTTCCTGCTTTTAATTTTCTTTCTCTTTTGGGAGAGTCTCTGCTGTTTTCCTCTCATTTTGGTTACTTAGTGTGTAAAGAACTTGTTCTTCTAACTTGTAATGGAGTTCTCAATTCGTTTTAATGCAAAGGCATTGAATTAGTATCAGAAACTTCAGAAGATGAGCTGAAGGCTGCATCTGGCCCGGTTCCTGAGCTTCCCGAGGGCATTACTGTAGCATACACTCTCCCGAACAAGGTAGTGTATTTATTCTGCATGGAGTTTTGAAATGTGTTGTAGATTACATTCCTAATAAGCAGTGAGTTTGGTTACCCTTTAAACCTACACTAAAAATCCATCTGGAACAGTCACAGTGTAGCTGTACCTCAGTTCATCCCAGTAGTGCCTTCTGTGGTCCAGGTTTGTGCTTCTATAGAAGATGCTTAAGGATGGATGTCAGTGTGACTGTAGTTACAAGGTGACAGGAATGAATGTGTTTGGAAAGGAAAACCTGAATTTCTCAGTTAATATTTTGGTGACTAATTGATTTTTACCATATTTATCTTGTAAAAGCTGTGTGTAATCAAAGAGCAATTTGTATACCTGGGGAACATAGAATCTGTGTCATTGCAGCCAGAACACTCTAACTCCCTGTCAGAACAGTTCACAATGTAAGCTGATAATGATTTAGGCCTAATGTTGCAATTCAGAAATCAAGCTTATTTGTGGGGGGCTTTTTGTTTGATACTTGTGACGCCAACTTTTTCTTCCCGTTTCTCATAGGAAGAGAATTTGATAACTGAGGAAACGGTAGCAGAATCTGAAGAAAGCCTAGAAGAACTCATGGCCAAAATGAGAAACATGTAGCAATATTAACTACAACTCTGGGGAGTTTGGGTTGACAGTGGATTATAAGAAGACCACACTTTTTTTTCCTCCTTTTTTTACCTCCACTGAAACTTACCTTTGTGTTTCTGATGAAATGGAACTGTTACAGGGGCAGGAAGGAGACGCGGTTACTTTGTACATAGGGATTGTGCTACTGTAAACTCTAATTTCTCAGCACTCCTAGTGTGCAGCTAGCTGTTCAGTAGGAATAAAAAGAGATGGACAAACTAAGGCAGAAGTTCTTCCCTGTGAGGGTGCTGAGGCACTGGCACAGAGTGCCCAGAGAAGTTGTGGCTGCCCCATCCCTGGCAGTGTTCAAGGCCAGGTTGGACACAGGGGCTTGGAGCAACCTGGTCTAGTAGAAGGTGTCCCTGCCCATGGCAGGGGGCTGGAACTGGATGATCTTAAGGTCCCTTCCAACCTAAACCATTCCATGCTTCTATGAAACTCACAAAAGCAGCCACAGCACAATATATGCACCATCATGTGATGAGAACAGAACACAGTATAAGACAAGTGAAAGATGAGATCTGCTGGAGAGCACCTGGTAGGCCAAGGGCAGATAGTACCTCACTCGGATTGCTGCTCCTGATTTTCCAGGCACTTGTACTTGGTTGTTGCTCACTGGTCTCTGTATTCTTGGCATGGATTGTGCTGTGACTGTTGATCTGAGTAGATCATTTCAGCCTTTTAATCTACTTTAAATACTGCTGGAATGGAATTTTTTTTAACTACCCTGGGTTTATCAATGTTTTACTACTGCTTGTTCTTAAATAGCTGCCTGTATGTTTTGTATGGGATAATGCTTTGAGTATGTTGCAACAGGGCAAAGTCTCTAGTTAGTAGTAATTATACTAGCAAACTGGGTATTAACAGTGCCACTACATCAGCTGGCAGATGTTTTTTGTGACACAGTCTTAAGAATTACCAGCACCACTGGAGAGAACAGGAGATGTTGTCTATCTCTTTGAAAATCTCAGTATTTTTGTTGCTTATTTAAATTTCAGCTGGAATTCTGATCCATCCCCATTATATGGGTTATATTAAGGAATATACTTCATCTGTGTTTGCGTAGGCAAGCTTCTAAAATTAGATGCTGCAAACTCCATTTCGTGTTGCAAGTATCTTCAGTGGAGTAGCTGAACTATTGCATTTGTCCTGTAAATAACATTAGTACAGTCATAGTACCTTTAACCTGTCACCTGTTAAACTGACCTGTAAATGTACATCCTGCAGTGACAGTGCCCTGCACAACTGGAAGTATCCACTGCAACTATGTGAGCTACTGGGGGCATCTGATCCAGAATTTGATCATTATTGAGAATTAGAAGAACATCCATTGCATTATAATACAAATATTTCCACCTTGGGCTCTTCAGAAACTACCTTTCCACAGTGTGATGCAGCCAGCACAGAACCAGGTAGTAATTAATGGTAGTAGTATCTAACCAACATGTAAAGAGAGAGCAATGCTGGGCAGGTGCTTCTGGTACTCAGTTTAAAACAGTTTGATTTCTAAGCAATGCTTATAAACTTCACGATCTTTTACCTCCACAGCTGATACTAGGTCTTGTATACATAAAAATCACTCATGCAGGTGGTGAGGGAGGTTTTGGCTGTGGTGCATTATCTTTTAGAATGGAAGTGGGGTTTTGGATTGATTCCAGTTCTGGAGCAAGCAGATTTTCGAAATGAACTGTAAATAGGGATGGGAAATAGGATGATGAGATCATTAACAAGGTACATGCTCAAATCTGTGTCACTAAGTCCAACTAGTTTGGTGTAAATCGCATGTTAAGTGTTACTTGCATTCCTTTGTGACTTTACCTTTCTGTTGGGAGCACTGAAGTAAGGCCTGGCTCTGGAGATCCTGAGGCCAACAGTTGACTCACTTCTGGAAGAGCTCAGTTATTCTTGTCTCTTCAGTATTTGCTCGCATGACTGCTACACACGACTGACACCTTTACAAGATGCAAGCATTTACCATTCTACTTCCTGGAGAGTTTTATGAGCAAAGTAATACACTTCATATGCTCACTTACAGAGCGTGCAGGGTGGTTCTCCTGCTACTTTCAGCTTGTGTATACAAGAACTTGAACTAATCAGAAAATGCATTAAGATGATTGTATGTGCCAATGGTTAAAATGACTTAAAAATAAACAGCATCAAAGAAAAAAGCAGTTTCAAGGATTTTAAGTTAAAAAGACATTTACAAGTATAATGTCCTCTGACTATAAAATATGAAAGAAGATTTATGACTTCTTTTATGATGAACTAACAAAGCATCTTGCAATGGTTTAGCCCAGCTTTGTTTATTTGGCAATCTGATAAAAGAAGCATTCTGTTTTTACAGTGCATCATGACTGTTACTGACATGTTCATACTGACTATGATGAAATCTCCACTGAAACTGGTCACACTCTTTGTTGTTTTCTACATAGAGGTATCATTTGGCGTACACCAGATAACACAAGTTACTTTTTTGATGTCCATGAGGCACAACTGCAGATACATGGACAACTGTCTTAAGAGCATCAGCTCATGGCCAACATGCAGCCTGCAAGACCCTCCACCATTACTCATGGTCCTGTTTTACTTCCTGTAGAAGGTTTCCTTTGGGTTGACAGCTGAAGCCTGTTGTTTCCTCACTATCTTTGCTGGTGGAGCGTGGATGGTTGGGATCTGCTACTTTTTAGGGATCTGCTACTTTTTAGGGACTGCTTTTTCTCCTAAAATCAACCCTGCGGCCTGTGAGTGAGTTCGAAAGAAGTCACTCAAGGGAAGAAGTGTGACAGTTCAGAAGTGAAAACCACTGAATGGGGCAAGTCTGATCCTTTCTAGACCTCCAGTGTCATATCTTCTCATTTAAGATAACAACACTGAGGAAAACTATTTAGGAGAACAAGATACACCACTAGACATTTTAAAATCAGAACAGAGGTGACAACCTTGAGCAGACATCTGCTAATTCCCAGCACTGGCTTTGGAGGAAGGAACTCCCAGCTCTGAGCAGAGCAGGCAACAGAAACACCCACAAGCTGAAAAGGTTGAGGGTTTGGGGGGGTGGTTTTTGTGTTCTTTTTTACCTTTTCCTCTTTTCCTTCTCTTTAGCAACAATCCTGCAAAGAACTGCCCAATTTCCACAGCTTCTCAAGGTGGCTGAAACAGAGGAGAAAAACTCCTGCTTTGATTAAAACCCCATTTTCTGAACTAAGAATGAAATACCCAGAGAGCTATTACACAGTGTCAATTCCTGTTGCTGTACTGTAATACCTTCAAGAGCTATTTGGTTTTTTTTTTCAACTAAATCTTAACGTTTGGAATCAGATTTGGGTTGTGTATTTGTTCTATCGGGTTTATATATTGTTTCCTCTGCTAAGTTACACCCCTACCAAAATGTTAAATTCCAGAACAAGGGCTGAAATAGGTTATATTTAACTCTGCTCTAAAAAGAGAGAAAATACTGTGGAAGGGAAGTGCCATTCTGATGGTAATGGCCACTTGCATTTTTCAGTCAAAATTAGATCAAGTAAATCTTTACATCAGTTGCCACTAAAACATTATAGTGAAGTTTCAATTTTTCACTTAATAAAAATGTGGTTTTTTAGTATTTATTTAAATTGATTCATGGATTGATGCTGGTGAGGGACTCTTCATCAGGGACTGTAGGGATAGGACAAGGGGTGATGGGTTCAAACTGAAACAGGGCAAGTTCAGGTTAGATCTAAGGCACAAGTTCTTCCCTGTGAGGGTGCTGAGGCGCTGGTACAGGGTGCCCAGAGAAGCTGTGGCTGCCCCATCCCTGGCAGTGTTCAAGGCCAGGTTGGACAGAGCCTTGGGCACCTTAGTGGAAGGTGTCTCTGCCTATGAGCTGTAAGAACCCTTCCAACCCAAACCAATCTGGGATTCTATGATTGAATTGGAATGAACAGACTTCAGAATGATTCTTCCAGCTGACCAGAGTATCACGAAATACAGCAAGCAGGTAGATTTGATTAGCATCTTTTTATCTGATGGAAAACTAGTTTGCATTACTAGGCTTTCCCAGCTAATACAAATATTGTTGTGTTTTAAGGGATTCTATGAGATTAAATAGCAGAAGTATTGCTAAAGGGCTAACAACAGGGAATCGGGTCATCATCATCATCATCATTCTGGTTCCTTACTGCAAGTATTTTTACTGGACACAGTTGAATCTGAAAACAGCTTTAGTTGTAGGTGAGGGTATATTTAGGGTATATGAGGGTATATTTAGATATTAGCTCCTCAATTATTTTTGCACAAGTCCCTTGAATGTAAGTCTGCTTCAAGCTGAAGCCATCCTGCAGGTACTTTGGGTGGAACTTTTGACTTATTCAAAATTACCCCTTTTAGAAACACCTTTAAAAGCTTCTAAAAAGGCAGGAAGGATGGATGAAAACCAGAAATACACAAATCCTACAAGCCAAGCCCTTCCAACACAGAAATAAGAATTACTCCATAGAGTATATACAATAGGTCTCACTGAACTCGTTCTAATCCTGGCACTTAGGCTAAGAGGTAACCAATCCATGGGTTTAGCAGTAGCTCTGATTTTAGCTAGTAACTAATGTACATATCTTCATATATCCTTTCATATACATTGAAAGAAGCTCACTTTGTACCATGCAGCCTGCAAAGTTAACATGGAAGGATTTCAAGCTTTAACATTTGTTTCCCTGTCTTTCATGAAGATAGGGGTCGGTCCCAAAATAGTACATTATCCCAGGAAAAATAGATAGTCATTTCATGTCTGCTTTAAAATAGCAACAGAGCCTGCCTTTCCTTGGAGCAGGTTTGTATCACCTTTGTCCATGTTCCAGGAAAATACTGGGTGATAATGCACTTTTTAAGCTGAATGTATCTCCACTCGATGAGTGTCGAGAAGTTGCTTTTCCACCTATCAACAAAGTCTCTGCTTCTTTTATTTCCATAGCTCTCTTGTACAGTTCCGCTGCCTTCTCAAAGTCTCCCCCTTCATAGCTTTGGAGAAGAGTAAAACAAAGTTGAAACAAGCAAATAAAACAGGTCTCTCGTTTCGTTTAAACTGCAATGCACACCATGCTGTCGCCAAAGCATGCTTAAAGCTCTCCACTTGCCTATTAAGTACCCAAGTCCAGGATGTTTTCTTTCATCCAGCAGTTGTTATAGTAATTTGCTTTTATAGGGCTAAACCATATAATCTTACCTAAGCACAGCCAAGTTCTTCAGAGTTTCCCCCACACGAGGATGCATGTGCCCAAAGCTGTCTTCATAAATCTTTAGCGCCCGCTCATAGAGAGGTAAAGCTTCAATCTGCTTTTTCTTTGGGTAGGAGAGAGTCGTTTGTTACAGATGTATGTTACACTTGTAACTCCTTTGCCAACAGAATATCAACACATCCTAGATGCAAAGTCATGCATATTTAACCAGAAAGGTGTTTGTTGACAGATGAGGATGGTAATTGAGATTGTCAGAGCAATTGGTTTGCCCTTGCAAATGCAATCCCACCCCCAATATTGTAATAATTGGGGTCTGGGCTTCTGGGCAGTTTTGAAAGATCTCGATCCTGAAAGCTTTTGAGTTACCAAATGCTCTTTAATTTTACCTGAGACAACTTTAATCCCTGTTTAAAATCACATATGCATATTGCAGAAATAGAGAAAAAAATCAACAGCTCACTCCTACTGATGCCAAATGAGGAATGTGGTAAATTGATTTATCAAATTGATTGCAACTCTTTTGAATTTCATATTAGCTGTAAACTAGGAAGTCTACAGCCTTCTCAGATTTTCTTTTACATAGAATCATAGAATGGTTTGGGTTGGAAAAGACCTTAAGATCATCCAGTTCCAACCCCCTGCCATGGCCAGGGACACCTCACACTAAACCATCTCACCAAAGACTCCGTCCAACCTGGCCTTAAATACTGCCAGGGATGGAGCATTTATCACTTCTCTGGGCACCCTGTGCCAGGGCCTCAGCACCCTCACAGGGAAAAACTTCTTTAGATCTAACCTGAACTTCCCCAGTTTCAGTTTGAACCCATCATCTCTTGTCCTATCACTACAGTCCCTGATGAAGAGTCCCTCTCCAGCATCGTTGTAGGCCCCTTCAGACACTGCAAGCCCAGGCTGGACAGAGCCTTGGGTGACATGGTCTAGTGTGAGGTGTCTCTGCCCATGGCAGGGGGTTGGAATTGGATGATCTTAAGGTCCTTTCCAACCCAAACCGTTCTATGAGTCTATGATTCAAAGGGTTGTGTTTCCCTCTGACTCAGCAGTGAAGCTGTGTTTCCCCATAGTGTGACAACCCCCTGTCACTGGAAATGTTGTGCTCTAGTCCTACTCTTATACAACCTATGACAGGCATAATAAACATGTAAGACAAGAAGCACTTACCATCTGACAGTACAGGACAGCCAGATTGACCAAGGCAGTTGCCACACTGGGGTGTTTTGGGCCAAATGACTTCTGTCGGATTTCAACTGCTAGTTCGTACAGAGGAACAGCCTTGTCAAGTTTTCCCTAGAAACAACAGGGGTGGAAATGATTCAGTTCTTTTGTGTCAAAACAGCAACAGTAAAATCTATTTGAAACAAAAAGCCCTGGAGAAGATGTAGCTGTTTCCAGAATAAGGGTTTAATTCTGATTAATTCATAGTTATATTCTGCACAGATTCTTTATCATGAATATTGATTAGGACCCAATTTTCCCCAACACTGAGCACATTCAGCTCCCAGGTGATGTGTTTCTCAGCTATGCCTAGCTCACTTTTAGAATGTATGTTTTCTCCACAAGTGTGTCCATTTGTATTTCCTCATCCTGCCACAGATGAGAACAGAGCTTATTTTTTGTCCTGAAGGGCCTGCATTTTACTGGTGACATGGGAATGGAGCTGCCTTCACTTTTGGGCAGTTTTCCACGTACTGAAGTGGTGTTCACACCATCTTCCCTGGAACAACCACAGTGCCTGATGCCATTTCAAGTACCTGTTGCTTCCCATTTGCCATATTGAGGCATTGGCTTCTTGACTTTGGTTTATCTAAAATACCTCTCTTACATTCCAGCTAGTTTTATTGGAGATTATTTTTCCAGCAAATCTGTTTTCCTCCAAATTCCAATCTGCTCACATATTAACTGGCTAGACTTCACAAGTATGCTTAGGCTTCCGTTCTTAGAATGTGAATTCTCATAGTCAATAGCAATTAAATATTGCAGACTTCCACTGTTATGGTGGGAAATGGATCACTGGAATTGCAAAATTCATATTTTCTCCTTATGTTTTCAAAGCATCACCAGTTTGAAGATGCTCAGTAACTCATCTGGAATAAGTATGTATTTAATAAATGTGTTTCGAGAAAGCTAGTGGG